GGGGCATAAAAAGAAGTGAATGTAAAAGAAGAATACTTTATTTAGAAGGAGGATTAAGAAAGGCACGTTATCGAGTACTATTCCTATCAGATATTAGTGAAGAAGACTTATTGCCAGTCTATTTCGTTTATGGTCAGTTGATTATACATCAAAGCTGACCACCTACGAGGTTACACGAGGGTAATGTCTCATCACACTGAAGTAAGATGGAAGCTCCGGAGTCACTGTCCTGGTAAGTAGCATACATCTGAAACAAATACAATAACTGCAGATTATAATATTAATGGTTTATTTCGATATTCTATCAAATTCACATTTATTAGATGGAGGCTCCAAGTATCATCGAGCTGGTAAGTGGATAACGTTTTCAACGAGCATAATTATTCCAAATTATTACGTTAAGAATATCGTATTTTATTCACAGTTTTTCTCTGGTTTTGCATTTCAAGAATGAATTTCAAAGTGATTTGCACCTGGAACTTTAGAAAAATCTTATCCATATAAGAACAAATTCTGAATTGGGAAAGGGGAGTCGTGTGTGTATCGAAGGAGGGGAGGGGGATTGCAAAGTGATCTTAAATTTATATCTACCAAAAAATGCTGCAATAATAGGAACCCGAATTTGTTTAGTAATAACGGCAACTAAGACATTAGGGAAAACAGACGTTTCACAAGTGAGCTATTTTATAAAAAGTTTGTCTATTTTCACTGTAGAAAGTCTAATATTGTATGTTTCATATAAGAAAGTCTTTATATTTGTGAACCAAAAAAAGGTAAACTTCAATATTATGGATATGATGACTTACCCTTCTTGATGACTGGTGAAGTTTTAGATTATGATCACTGGACATTTGATACATGGGTACATCTCGATCCAGATGTGCTGTTTTTGTCAGGTGCAAACGTTTATCCTTTCCCCTGACGGAGAGTTTGTAATCAACAAGTCTAGGGTAATCGATTTCTTCAGATCGTCGATTACGTATATTTATGGACGATGAATCTATTTCAACAGTTACAATTTCTGAAAAGAATATAGTTAATTATCATTTAAAGAACGATCCACTATCAATGCCAAGCATCAAACCAATATACATTATTATATTTGAAATTCACTGTAAGCACGAAAACTTGTATTTTGATCTTAAATAATTCTTATTAGAATTCGAACAATTGTTGTGTGACCGGGAAAATAGAAAACGATACTTTTTAAAATTAATGATTTCCGCCATTTGAGCAGATTCAATTATAAAACGCAAACAATATTGTTTTATTCAAGATAAATGAGTTAAAAACTGTTTACCTTGCTATTGTTATTAAAGTCCATATAAGTCATAATCTAGTAGTATTACATGTCCCGTTATAAAGAATCCGAGCATATAGTTATAATACGGAATATCAGAATGCTATATTCCCGTTGTGCCATTACAAGGCAAGAATATTAATTATGGATCAGTATTTTCACTCACCTGTGTCATCAGAATCAAATTCCTCGAAAAGTTTGTAACAAAGTGTGTAAGGTATCAAAACTAAAAAGAGTATATTTAAACGTTTCATTTTCATGAAAATAGAAATAGTTTGCAACTAAAATAAAAGATGACTGACCACCTACTGAAATTCACTTTAATGTAATACTTTAAACGAAACTTTTCTATAAATTGATAACATTTGGTGAACAATTATGACTGTTCAAAGTTTAATGCAATTACATGCCATTAGTACATGGTGATATATCCATTGTCACGCCTCGGGCATCAAACAATGCCATTGTACCCAGATAATAGAACAACAGCCGCAGGGTAAAAACGGTTCCCAAGACAGTGCACTCGTGATCGTCTAACATTACGTTATATACACGGTCAGTGCTATAGATTTATATTTTGCATTTTTCATATGTATGATTTCCTCCTTCCTTACAAGTACAGGCATTTTGGTCGTTACTTTTTAAAACAGATAAACAGCATTTTTATATATTAATGATCATATTAACATGTCTTTTATTTGTAAGGTGTTGAATACGGGAAATTTGGATTGGGGCCGTGGATAATGCAATCGTCTTTAACAAAGATGGCCGAGCTTCGGCTCTTTGATCGGACGTGACGTGAAAAGGTATTTAGTCATCAGCCTAACTACGTGGGTTTTCTCTGTGTACTTTGATTTTCTCTCACATTTAAACCCCTTTCGCTCTTCCATCCTGGCAAAGAGGTGTTTAATATAGTTTTCGATAAAAATAATTGTTGCAATATAAATCAAGTTCATTACAAATGCAGGGAATTCTATTGCGGCGTATGGTTTCTTTATGTTGTATAGGACGTGTCTACTTTCAATTCCAAGGATTTTCAGGTTTTACCTTGGCTTTCTGTGTATATTTTTTATAAATAAGTTAATCGATTGAGCCGCATAAAGGTCCTGAAGTGTGATAGCTGTTCGACTCACTACCAATGTAGCTACATATCATGGATCCACAGAGGGATCCCTGTACCACTGCCGAAAACTATAACCACTAATTTGAAACTTTTCTCCAGCCTAAAAATAGCTTTGATAAATCATTTCTGAAAAGAAAACCATACTCAGTGGTACTTTTATGAACAAAAATAATGAAGTTGAAATAAACAAAATATTATAAACAGAAGTGTTCTCAGTGGAAAAATTGAGCAAGGCTTGATTTGGATTCAAACCCTTGTCTTCAGATTGTTATACTAAAGCTCAAACCGACTGAGCTACCTCGTCAACCGAAGTGTGTTTGTCCAATAGTGCTACAGTTATATCCAAAAGGGAATTAAGGGGAGATTACTGCATATACGAAAACAATAGCGCCGTTTGGGCAGGGATCCTTAAGTCTAACTCAGTTTTGTTAATTATTCTAACACTTCTCTATTTCTTCAGCTAATGATATTTCGGAAAACCTTTTTTATTCTGGAAATTTTTTTTTATAACGCCTGATGTATTGAAATGGTGAAATTCTTCGGGCGCGTTTTTGTTGTCATCTCAGTCCTAGTTGCCTTACCGTACTGATTTTGTTTGTATATTGTATCCTTGTTTTTTATATTTTGTATTTTGCATCCTTGTTTATTTATATTTTGTATATTGCATCCTTGTTTTTCATATTTTGTATATTGTATCCTTGTTAATTCATATTTTGTATATTGTATCCTTGTTTATCTATATTTTGTATTTTGCATCCTTGTTTTTCATATTTTGTATATTGTTTCCTTGTTCATTCATATTTTGTATATTGTATCCTTGTTAATTCATATTTTGTATGTTGTATCCTTGTTTATCTATATTTTGTATTTTGCACCCTTGTTTATTTATATTTTGTTAATTGTTTCCTTGTTAATTTATATTTTGGTATATTGTATCATTCTTTGCCGATTATTTTTATATTTTGTTTCCTTCCCTACTGATTATTTGGTATATTGTATTCTATTTTTTTATGGTCTGATATATCATGTCATCGATTGTTGACACTGTGGTGTATTGTCTCAAGGTTTGCTGATGGACGGGTATTTTTTGTTCTTGTTTGTTGACTCTGTGGTTTGTTTTGTCCCTGTGTGGCGACGCTGTTAAGATATCTATTTAATCCAGTAATAAAAATTAAAAAAATACAGACAATGATGAAACAATTCAGTCATTCCGTACAATATTTGTTTCTGTGCTTACCAGAATGGCCAAAGTGTTCATTCGGTTGAATATCTGCCAATACACTGAGGTCTTTACACCATACATAATAACATATAAAAAATATAACATCTTATAAACGGTCGATAGTGGGGAATATTAATACATTGTTCAATGTTCAAAATGTATATGTACATGAAAGTGACTGTGTTTTGCGTTGTTGTACATTGAAATGTCTATAGTCCATTCCCATGCTACTATTACACATTATACAGAGTAGATACAATAAGTTAGACCCCATATCATAAAATCACGTTTGATTAAGTAAGAATTACACGAAACATCAAACTAGTCGGGATTTGTGACGTCTAAATATCCCCAATTTCAACAATGTGCTAACATACAATTTTAGAGGGTAAATACCATAAGCTATAACCCGTCGTAAAATGACGAAATAATTTATACAATTTACTTAATACATCTATCATAACTGACCTAAACCTGTTTCTCCTAAGCTGTAGTGATTTAACAAGTCGCAATTTGTATATGCACTGTTTGTATAATTATATTAAAATGACATCAGATTTCTAGCTGTATTTAAGGTTATGATTTTAAATCGATGGCATGTAAATTGATGCACGGATTTATAATTCTAGAACGTTTGAGTGATTAAAACTTATTGATAATAAAACATAGTAATACAAGAGGCCCAATGGGCCTGCATCGCTCACCTGTTATTAATCCAACACTTGTAATCTTAAGATTTCATAAGAACCTATTAAAAGATTTAAACATATGACGCCTCTGACCTTGATTGTTGAACAAGGACATTAGGTTGAAAGTGGATCAAGTTCATTCATTTGAACTAACATGGTAGTCCTTCATCCAAGCATGCTACAGACCCAATTTCAGTACCCTGGCCCTTTTGCTTATTGAAAAGAAGTCGCTTGAAGATTTTATGACATTTGACCCTGTGACCTTGAAAGTTGGTCAAGGTCATTCAATTGAACAAACTTGATAGTCCTTCATCCCAGCATGCTACATGCACAATATCAGTACCCTGGGCCATTTGGTTATTGAGAAGTAGTCGCTTGAAGATTTTACAACATTTGACCCCTGTGACCTCGAAAGTTGGTCAAGGTCATTCACTTGAATAAACTTGATAGTCCTTCATCTCAGCATGCTACATGCCCAATATCAGTACCCTGGGCCTTTTGGTAATTAAGAAGTTGTTTGAAGATTTTAAGACATTAGTCCCATGTGCCCTTGAAAGTTGGTCAAGGTCATTTATTTGATTCAACTTGGTAGCACTTCATCTTAGCATGCTACAGGCCCAATATCGGTACACTGGGCCTTTTGGTTATTGAGAATTTGTTTGAAGATTTTAACATATTTCAACCACTGTGACCTTGAAAGTTGGTCAATGTCATTCATTTGAACAAACTTGGTAGCCCTTCATCCCAGCATGCTACATGCACAATATCAGTACCCTGGGCCTTTTGGTAATTAAGAAGTTGTTTGAAGATTTTAACATATTTCAACCCCTGTGACCTTGAAAGTTGGTCAAGGTCATTTATTTGATTCAACTTGGTAGCACTTCATCTTGGCATGCTACAGGCCCAATATCGGTACACTGGGCCTTTTGGTTATTGAAAAGAAGTTGTTTGAAGATTTTAACATATTTGACCCCTGTGACCTTGAAAGTTTGTCAAGGTCATTTATTTGATTCAACTTGGTAGCACTTCATATTGGCATGCTACAGGCCCAATATCGGTACACTGGGCCTTTTGGTTATTGAGAAGAAGTGGTTTAAAGCAAAAAGTTGACGCCGAACGGCCGGACGGACGGACGGACGGCCGGCCGGCCGGACGGCCGGACGGACGGCCGGCCGGCCGGCCGGACGGCCGGACGGCCGGCCGGCCGGGCGGACGACGGATGCCGCACCCTAACATAAGCTCACTTGCCCTTCGGGCAGGTGAGCTAAAAATGAAAATATTCTACCGCACCAACTTATGCTACAGGTTCAACAAACAAGGACAAAGTATAGCATAGCGTAAATATACAAGGATAAAATAAACCAGAACATCAACTAACAAGGACAAAGTATACCATAACGTCGACAAACAAGGACAAAGTATAGCATAGAATCAACACACAGGGACAAAGTATAGCATAGCATCAACAAACAGGGACAAAGTATAGCATAGCGTAAATATACAAGGATAAAATAAACCAGAACATCAACTAACAAGGTCAAAGTATACCATAACGTCGACAAACAAGGACAAAGTATAGCATAGAATCAACACACAGGGACAAAGTATAGCATAGCGTAAATATACAAGGATAAAATAAACCAGAACATCAACTAACAAGGTCAAAGTATACCATAACGTCGACAAACAAGGACAAAGTATAGCATAGCATCAACAAACAGGGACAAAGTATAGCATAGCGTAAATATACAAGGATAAAATAAACCAGAACATCAACTAACAAGGTCAAAGTATACCATAACGTCGACAAACAAGGACAAAGTATAGCATAGAATCAACACACAGGGACAAAGTATAGCATAGCGTAAATATACAAGGATAAAATAAACCAGAACATCAACTAACAAGGTCAAAGTATACCATAACGTCGACAAACAAGGACAAAGTATAGCATAGCATCAACAAACAGGGACAAAGTATAGCATAGCGTAAATATACAAGGATAAAATAAACCAGAACATCAACTAACAAGGACAAAGTATACCAAGGTCATTCATTTGAACAAAGTTGGTAGCCCTACATCAAAGCATGCTACAGGCCTAATATCAGTACCCTGGGCCCTTTGGTTATTGAGAAGAAGTTGTTTAAAGCAAAAAGTTGACGCCGGACGGCCGGACGGACGGACGGACGGCCGGCCGGCCGGACGGACGACGGATGCCGCACCATAACATAAGCTCACTTGCCCTTCGGGCAGGTGAGCTAAAAATGAAAATATTCTACCGCACCAACTTATGCTACAGTTTCAACAAACAAGGACAAAGTATAGCATAGCATCAACAAACAGGGACAAAGTATAGCATAGCGTAAATATACAAGGATAAAATAAACCAGAACATCAACTAACAAGGACAAAGTATACCATAACGTCGACAAACAAGGACAAAGTATAGCATATCTTCAACATAAACGGACAAATTATACCATAGAGTCAACATACAAAGAGAAAAGACTAGCATAGCGTCAACAAACAATGAAAAAGCATAGAAGAGCGTCAACAAGAAGGACAAAGTATACCATAGCGTCAAAATACAAGGACAAAGTATACCATGGCGTCAACATACAAAGACAAAGTATACCATAGCGTCAACAAAAAGGGTAAAGTATACCAAAGCGTCAAAATACAAGGACAAAGTATACCATAGCGTCAACATCCAAAGACAAAGTATACCATAGCGTCAACAAACAAGGACGAAGTATACCATAGCGTCAGCGTGCAAGGACGAAGTAAACCAAAGCGTCAACTCATAAAGACATAGGCCATGGAATTAACTTACAAATAATAAATTGATGCTCAGAACCAATGCGAAAGCACAACGACTAGAGGATATCAAACCGAAATGACATCATGCAAAAACCGGAGGCGAGATCAACAATATTCATGCCAAAGATATTAGCGTTATGCATACATGTATATACATTTTAGATATACGAATCCCTATTGTGGCCCTTCTGAGTACAAAATGTATGTGAAAAGTCAATCCTGTAATCTCGAAAGGGTTCAGACAAATGTAATTTGTATAGTTATGTATAAATCCTCGGGAATTATCGTTCTAGTACATGGTGTACACATAGCTTCTAGTGTTTAAATCCTCGGGAATTATCGTTCTAGTATATATAGTGTAGATAAAACCCATGTATAAATGTTAATTTTCGTATCAAACCTGGACGATTTAGCGGGCCGTTATTTGTTTTTTTTTCATCAGCTTCACACTTTTCCAGAATGTTTCTGAAAGATTTAAATTGCACTTATTTATCATTCATTTTTTATTTGAACTCCAAAATTTGCATTTAACATTTGAATATATGCTATTTGTTAAAACAAAGAATAGTTTAAAAATAAATTCAAATTGAATCTTAAATGAAATCAAGTTAACCAGACCTCTTCTAACAGAACCCTGGTTACCGTAATACTACAAAATCAATGGCTTTGCTGAGGAAACTTACAACTGTAAAGGGAGATAATCCGATTTAAGTATTTTACATTTGATCTAGTTTTATTACAACAATTGGTTATAGACCTTAAATACCTGATCGACGTTCCTAAACAAAGACGCTAATCTGTTTAGTGCAATTCTTCCGTCGAATGTGATTACCCGCGCCCTACATGGCAGGTCGTATCACTGCCCACCGTTCGTTATTCCAAACCTCTACAACACAAACTAATTACTGATCCATTATGATAGAGATGACACCTATGTGTATCAATCAAGGACAGATACGATGACGTCATTGATGATATGACGTAGACAGTGGTCTTATTGAGGAGGGGACCAATCTAAGACCATGGGGATTGGTGCGTTGCTATGGATATTATTCCTGGTTCGATATTCAGGTATGTTATTTTATAAACAAGCCGTTTTCTTTAAACGTAATACGACAACGTCAATTATGTCATAAATCGATATATATATATATTTCATGAATTATATGCATTGTATTGATAATGTATTTGATTATTAACAATTGAGATACTCGCCAAATATATATGCATTATCTTTGTGATAGAAACCAACTTTGTTATATATTATATTTATATAAGGAGATACGAGTTAATAGAAAATGATAAAAAAAAACTCACAGTGAAATGTAATTAAATGTTAAACGTATATGAATGAAAGGTTGAAATTGTTTAAAGCTATGTTTCCACGAATATGTCAAATACAATTATCACAAAGATGACTGCATGATCTCGGTTAGACATATATTTGTGTATTTTATCACAAATTGATGTATTTTTCACCCTTATTCCAGCTAAAATGAAGTTAACAAAATTTAGTTTTTAAGCATAGAATAATTCAAAAACTGATTGATATAAAGATAAAAAGCCGTGAAAATGACCCCCATTTAAATCGCGATTTTTTTTTCTCTCTAATAAATCCTTTACAGGTATGTCTGACGGTTTTTTCCGGGAAAGATTAGTATGTCACCTTTTAGGGGGAATAACTTTGTACAGAATAGCATGCGCTAAATTGTGATGTCATAAAAGTGAATGGCGATTATTCGCAACATATGCTTTTGCTTACAAATATTATTACTGTCGGTTGCGTTTTGACTGAAAGTGACTGGAAGAGAGAAAAATGATCATTCCTTACTTTATGTGTGACACAGAGAAATCTCAAACGCTCGGATTGTAATCATTTGGTTGTAAACCCTCGGCAAATCCTCAGGTTTGTCAACGAGATAAATCATCCATTGGGTTGGAGATTTCTTTGTTTCAATCTTAGGTAGGAGAAAATTCTATTGATCTATTAATGACGTGTATTAAATGTTATTCAGGAAACGCTTACACTTCTGAAGCAAATGCGGGCGCTCACATTGTCCATTACACTGTGTTTATTAAGAATAAATTATGAATTGGCTAGATATATCATACGAAAAAAGCTTGGTGATTTAAATATGGTTGTATATATTAGCAATTGTGGTTGAATAATTATCTATGCGGTGTATAATTTAGGCAACAGCTACAATAATGATTAGTCTTTATGTAATAGTTAAACCTTAACATTGACAGGACTTGTCGATGTAAAATACTACTCTATCTGGATAGTAGTAAGATCACTCGTGTAAGATTTAAATATGGTTGTATATATTATCAATTGTGGTTGAATAATTATCTCTGTGTTCGCATAATAAACGCAATTGTTTGTATATGATTACAAGGTCTATGAAATATTATCATATGTAAATAACGATTTTAAGGATTTGATTGACTGATTTTATCGTTTACAAACATTGATTAATAAGAAAACTACCAGACGACATTTATGGTCCTAAAAATATCTTTGCTCACTACAGAATTCAGTTTGAACGTTTTTTCATGTCTAATCTAGATAAAAGCATATAAGCTTACAGTTCAAATGAGCCTTGGTAATCCAGCCAACACTTATGTGGTTTTCTTATAACGCAACAGGTATTTCTGGGAACAGAAAGACCCTTCTCTGTAATAAAATATTGTAAGAAATCTAGCAATCACACAATTCAGACACTGATGCTAGAAATGGGAGTGGCTGTGAATGGGAGTGGCTAAGAATTGGAGTGGCTAGATTATCGAGGCTCTAATGGAAGTGCAAGTTACATAATGGTTTGGTTTTATTTTGTTTAACGTCCATTTGACATCTAAGGTCATTCAAGGACGTGCCTCCATGTGTTTTTAGTAAGTTGTAAGTGTGCATGTATGCTGGAGACAGGGTTTGTTGGTGTACTTGCCTCCTTGTAATAACGCAGATCTGATGCCGACTTTATATTGCTATCTCACTGAAACACCATGCCGAAGGCACCGAGCACAGCATTCCGCCCGGTCGCATTATACTGACAACGGGTGAACCAGTTATTGCCATTACTTTAAATGCTGAACGTTAAGCAGGGACTAACATCTACCACTTTTAATGACTTTGATATGTCCCGAAGTTACATAATGGATACAGTAAATACTGATTTTCAGTAACCTTGGTCGTTTAATTATAAAAAGATTAGGAGAAAATAACGATGACGTCTATTTGGTACTTATATCAGTACATGTTAAGTTGTATATATTGATAGACGTGTATTCAAAATAAAACAGTAAGTAGATATATCAACTTTTCTCTGGGTGAATATACTGTAAATCACTATTTATGTCTGTATTTTATTTCGGGGACTAAACATGCGGGATTTTTTAATTCGCAGAATCTTTAATTTGGTGATATTTCAGTGTTGATCAAATTTCCAGGTAATTAATATTCGCTGTAGATATAAAATCGCGAATGTTCATTGTGATTTAAACCCAAAAATAATTCGTTAGCGATTATAATGCTACACTTTAAAATCAATATATATGTATATTGGTTCCTATTGTAGAATGTACGTGCACACTGCCAACCAATCTAGTAGGGTCCTGGACGAGCAGCGAGCAAGGTTCTATGACCTTCACCTCTACCTCGCTTCTAAGCTACCCGACAACGACCTTCGGCACGTTCACTTTTACCTGTGATTCTTATTCTGGTTCACAATACGTCCTCAAGTAAGTGTATTTTATATATTCTTCAGGGAATCGAGGATAGACACAACTTATAAATATTACCCTTGTAAATGTTTAAATGCAACTCCCTTTCCTCTTCTTCTTCTTCTTCTTCTTCTTCTTCTTCTTCTTCTACCAATAATATGCTACCACCTCTGGTGTATTGTCGTAGTTATGGCACATACCCAGTGGACACATGCCTCAGTTTCTGTTCCATACGTATCTGGATTTCCACCTTTTTAGGCCCCCGAGTATCACCAATGAGTACCTGAATGACGAAACAACTGTATGGTGCAGAGAAGTTCATTTTGACATAACGTACCCATTGCCAAAGGGTTTAAGGTGCATTCACATATTAGTGTCTTACGATCATCGATTAACAGAAACCATCAGGTCGTGTGTCATATGCTATGCAGAACAAGCTATTTTTTCAGCGTGCATAGTTCCGTCAACTTTTTATACCAAGAGTCTTATGATTGTATGTCTCCTCTGATTTAGTTTTTTAAGACTTAAAGTTTCTCCGATATCTTTATTTACGTGTTGGCAAAATCCTTTCTATTTGGCATTAAAGTATACCTTATTTTTTGTTCGTAGGTCCCCATCTTTTACCTACCTAACTCTCCCGTTTGAGGCCTACCTTTGTTTAGTTCTAACAGAAATATCATCGACGAAATTCACATATTTCATTGGCACAGGTGAGTAGCGAAATATGTTATTTTTTAATGAATGGCATCTAGACTTCGTTATTGCATTACACGTTTTAACAATTAATGAGAACGAATGATTGGATAATGTTGATCGAAAAAATTTCGCTGTAGTTTAATTTTCGCCTTTTTCGCTACTCTCTAAGATGAGAGCTAACTTATCATTACAGCGAACATTAATCAATGACGTTATTCACATGGTAACTACATTCACACGTTTGTCGGGCCGAAAATATCACAGTAAACAGTTATACTAAGACAAAAAAAATATGTGAAAACAAGAGAAATAAATCATAATAAAAAAAATCACATTTATAAGTGTCAGACTTGTAACACAGCATGTAGCTTAAAAAATAATTGATGTTAAGTATTTTTTCTTATATGTTTGTACTCAATGTATTCTATTTTAAATGAAGTTTAGACTTGTTTCAACTGTATTAATGTTTTCATTTTACTATACGTTTACCAAATTAGTCTGAAATTGACTCTTTTTTTATTTATTCAACAAAAAATTTAATTGGGAATTATTCAATATACTAAACATATGTTATAGAAATTATTATCATTATAATGGAAAATTGGTTATTTTCATTATGGTATTATTCTTTGTTGCCAAGACTCGTTACTTTTGTGTCATTTCCGACCTGCAGAGACGAACAGTTATGCCGGAAACGACCGGTTAAAGACGTCCAATCCGTCTACAACGCTAAACGTATCGGACGTATGTGACCGGTCATCGTACCCCACCGGAACATACTACGTACTGGTCAAGGATGGTAATGTCGCAGAGTCCTGTTTAACCATCATAAACTTTTTCTATATTATGCTAGCTTTATTATCACTGAAAGATATGGTGATCTGTGGGAAAATCATATTGTTATGGTATAAGTGTACAAAGGAACAAAAAGAAATGTTATACAAAGAATAGTTATTCTCCTATTGATTGCGACAACAATACAAAATATGAGGATTTAATAACAGGTTATCATAAGCTTATACAATTTTTAATACTGTGTTATACTGCTTAAAGGTAATCTTTATTTGAAATTACAATACCATTATTTGTATTAAGAAGAACAATTAAAGAATAGTTTAACGAACTTTCCAACCATTTCTTTGTTTTAGCGTTTTGAGTAAGTATTTATCTTAAATTAACATATGATCAACAAAAGTTCTTGGTAATTGTAGGCGAGATTAACAGTGCCCAAACAGACTGCCCAACAGACCTCCTCGGACAATGGACTTATACCTATAACAACGGAAGCGGAAGTGACGTATGCTCTGGTAACACAACCTCAGCAGATGTGTGTAATACGACTACCGGTATAAGTCTGTCATACACATCATGTAGCCAGATGGTCATGTATTCAAGTGAGTAATGATTGATCACAAATACATTCTATCAACACCAACAAGCAGCTCAACTTAGATATTAGTAATATTCTATAAACTTTCTTGTAACGACCTACATTGATAGATTCAATTGTCATTACATTAAATATGATTTTCGAATGATGCCAGCATCTCCGTGTTATCGATATGAAATAAAAAAAATTAAAAAATGACCTTTTTTAATTGGAAAAAAACAAACAAAAATATATCTACATCATATAAACAAAGGGTTTAAACTAGCATTTTCTAAACCTGAAAGTATTTCCCCATTCGGTCAAGAAATGATATAACCAGTTAACCATATTTGAAACTGTATGAGAAATAAAACTGCCCAGTCTATCATTTTGTTCCATTTGTTTGATGATGCCATCCTTATTTATTCGCTCAAATATATGGTCCCGTATCTTTATAACAATATCAGTATCGATATTTTTTTTCTTTAAAACCTTTAAAACATTCTTTTTCTCACTTTCTTAAAGCACGAAATCGTTTGTTTAAAATGCATTAAATATCAGTCCTAACATGTGAACATCATATCAGTTTTTAATGCTAGATTAATTCAACTTTTTAATGACCTTTAGATTCAATGTGCACATGATCGTTTGAAATAATAAGAGTGAAGCTAAACATCTTGTCTAAACGATTTTTCCTTGAAGAACATGGCGTCACTAAAGTCAGTTAAGATATATATATTTATTAAAAGACGTCCATCATCTATTGCCTGTAAAACGAAACATTAAGCTTTATTTTCCTTTGGCAAGATTAAATGCTAGAAAATAAGTGAATATCTATTGGTTCGAATTAACGAAATGATACGCTAAGCAGACGTGTGAAATTGGCAAGATAGTATTGGTTTAAATTTCATTTTAACCATTTTTTACAGGTAGTGGATTTCTGTACTGTCTGTACAGTTTCACTGACAGTTCTATGACGTACATTAACCTGTATAACACGGACAGCACGACAGATGAGTCGTCAACCTACCGCTTTACCTGTCTGGTGAGTCTTACTTACCTATGTGATACTTACCTGTCTGGTGAATCTTATTTACCTATGTGACACTTCCCTGTTGATACTTACCTGTCTGGTGGGTCTAATTTACTTATGGGACACTTACCCGTTGATACTTACCTGTCTTGTGAGTCTTACTTACCTATGTGATACTTACCTCTCTGGTGAATCTTACTAACCTATGTGACACTTCCCTGTTGATAATTACCTGTCTGGTGAGGCTCATTTACTTATCGGACACTCACCTGTTGATACTTACCTGTCTGGTGAGTCTTATTTACCTATGGGACACTTACCTGTTGATACGTACTGTCTAGTGAGTCCTGTTTACCTATGTGATACTAATCTGTTGCTACTTACCTGTCTGGTGAGTCTTACTTACCTATGTGACACTTACCTGTCTGGTGAGTCTTGCTTACATATGTGACACATACCTGTCTGGTGAGTCTTACTTACATATGTGACACTAACTTGTTGAGACTTGCCTGTCTGGTGAGTCTTACTAACATATGTGGCACTAACCTATCGAGACTTACCTGTCTGGTGAGTCTTACTAACCTGTGTGGCACTAACCTATGGGACACTTACCTATCCGATACTTACCTTTTTATACTTATCTGGTAAGTTCATACACTTAGCTGTCAAATACTTATCTACCAGGTTAGTCTTAATTATGGTTGTTAGTTGATCCTTGATATTTAACAATTGCAGAGGTCAAACAACATTTTCCCTGACATTTAAATGGTCAATATATATAAAAAAAAAAGACAGGTACTTTCAAACCCAAGAGTCAGAACTAACTTCGGGGAGTCAAAAACATACTCTCAAGAGTCAAATGTAACTTGATACTTAATTTCACATTGAAATGATGTTATTCTGTCTACTTGTTAAGGTTATGACAGAGTCAGGCGATGACCGGTACATCACACAGTATCCTAAACAATGCCATGAAAACCAGAACTCTTCTTCAGTACTTTCACCGGGAACAAGCCTCGTTTTCAGCCTCTCAAGTAAGACAATGTTTGTCTGCAATTTTCTTATCAATGTCATGAAATCTTTTGAATTTGCAAGAAGACTGTTATTGAATCATTCTTAAAAAACTTTACAAGAAAAATAATGATATTAATGATAATAAAGAAACCCAAGTGTTGGCAAAGGATCATTCAAACTTCAAACCGATAAAACTGGGGCTGAATATGAATAACCGATAGTTAAGCCAGATATGTTTTTTAGTTATGAACTTTTGCTTTCTTTGGCAGGTACCTGTGGTAAGTATACCGACTTTTTTTCTGTATGCATATCTTTTTTGTATGTCTTTTGGTAAATGATTACTGGAAAAAAGTAATAAAAAATTCAAAATTCTCCTAACATCACAATCACAAATGATTCAAACTTTCTATATCTTTATGACCATAAACATGTAAAATTATTTAACTTTCTCTTATCATAATCCAGCCATCTTGAATCTAGATATTTTTGATAAGAATGGTTGGGCTGGTAATCATTTGTACTAGTAATGTACATATGTTGTATTTCGTATTCAAATCTGTAATGTCTATTTTTTCTATAGCGCATTCCAAACATCGAACCGCAGTTTCACGAACGTTTCTTAAATGCTTTACTAATTCTTTTATAAAAAATTAAAATAAGGAAATTTCACTTGAAATGTTTCCTGTACTACCATAATGCTATTCAAAAGAGAGAAAAAATGAGAAGTTTCCTTATGTTAGGGAACATCCATGAAAAAAGGATTTTGCATTTGTCCTGAAAGATTAATATGAAATTAATATTATCTGTAGCAACCTCTGATGTCGTGAGTGCTGCAACGCTTGCTGTAGCGCTTGCTGTCGTGATCCCTCTCATCGTTATCATCGTTGCCTGCATCATCTCCTACTTCTGTTGGGTGAACTACCAGAAGAAGAAAATAGAGGAAGCTGCAAGGCCAGATCCTAAATTCGCAAATGGCGAAATTCGCAATAGACGTAAAAACATTCACGATGGCGTAATACATCCGGATCAGAACGGAATCATGATACGCCGAGAGGAATCTATCGTTATATCTGTGCCCCTTTCGGCACGTGACGACGATAACCAATCACCATTGTCGGAATTGGATGACTATGGTCAGGATGTAGATTCGGACGATGACGAATATGAAGTGAAGGATATCACAGAGTTTTCTTTGACTGACGATATTCCGGAAATAGTGGTTCACTCTGCAACGCCTAATCCTCGGGACGATAACCCGGTAGAGACCGGTACAGACGTAAAAAGTGCTAAAATTAAAAAGAAGCGGCGCCGACGGAGGAAAAGTGCAAGAAGTCGAGTCTCGACAATTACGGAGTCCAGACAGGATGCAGACATAAAGACCAAAAGGAAATCTCACTCACACATGGTTTGTTATCGATGGCATTATTTTAAGTTACCTTAGTCTCTGGATTTATTAAAACGACAGTTTGATTATGATATTGACCTGAATTTTCCTCCCAACGAAACCAGCCTGCTTGAAAACCGAATCCTTTTCCAATTCCTTTCCAGTTTACAATCCTATACCTACCCGTTTTAACATAATGCATAGAGCAGAAGATATGTTCAATGTGATATGTATACCTACATGTTTTACTGTTTACATCTTTCCTTTCCCGCAGTGATATGTTTTTATCGCGAATATGGAGAAATACACAGGGTTAAATTTGGTTTGTAAAAAATAGGCCGTTCATTTTGAGAGGTCTTTAGTATTATTTGTACGGAAATTATCACAGTCATGTTAAAAGCGTCAATTTTCCAACGATAGCAACAACTATCAATGTTCCTATCTTGTTGATTGCCGGATTCCAATTCGCAAAAACACGAAAATGATAAAGGGACATCTTTAATCGATATGAAATCTGTTTTGTAGAAGAAAAGCCATCTAAATACAAAAGATAAAATCACATTCGGCACCTCAACGGTTCTATTGAAGATGCCAGTGAAACGACAGAAAAAGAAAAAAAAGTACTTGGTACGTACCTCAAGGAATAACTGTTAAAATTATTGTGATGGTATCTGTTTTTTGTAATTTGTTATAATCAAACCATAATTACTACCGTAACTAAAATTACAAAAGTGTTTCATACTGCCACACACTTGAAAACAGTGAAAACAATAACTTAACGTATCATAAGGGTGATATGAATCGATTCAAATGGATTCTTGACTTTTGATAACAATAAGTAAGTCATATGACTAACATGTTCTCCTGTGCCTTTCCTACTTAAACGCTGACATAACTAACAGGAACCTCCCATAATTTAAAAAGAGGTAAGTGTTTATCATTGCTGAATTATGACATTATTTAAAATTTGCTTTTGTTCGCAACAACAGTACTTTTGTGACAGATTAAGAAAAGAATGCACACTACGTTTACAAAGCGTAATTGAATCACCAATTTAGCTATGCTATGAAACCTTGCCTGTAAATAGCAACAAATATGACAAAAGCGTAAAGGAAGCGGAATGTTTGGAACTAGAGTAAAAAGTTTTGCGTTACAAATCATCTGCATAATATAAATATATCCGTGTGCTAATTTAGCACATGAAACACTGTAGTATTGTTGCTTTAACCTTTACTGGCTTTTTATTGATACTAAATCCATAAAAGATCAAAAGTGCTTCGATGAAATCTGGCTTTACCATAACACCTTAAATCATCCAAATGATCAAGCCCCTCCTTTTGGTTTCGGTAAAGTCAGATTTCATTCCACTATGGTTGCTAATGGGTGGGTGATTGACACAGGCAATGAATGAAGAAGGAAAGGATGGGTTGCCAGATGTGGACGAGAAAGAGAAAGTAGCTCCATCCGACAAGCCAACCGTTAAAGAAGAATCCCTCAGAGAGAAGGCTTATAAGATGAGGATGAAAAAAGGAGAAACGTTGGCAGACCTCATCAAGAAAAAGAAGAAGGTGCCGATTTTAAAACACCCCATGGAGTCGAGTTACCAAGTATGTATAACCAGATACCTGATATACCATTCAATATTTACCAATTTTGTTAATATGTGCTGCAATTTAATATAATCATCTATTTAAAAGTTTGTTGTTGTGTTAGTTCATTTAAGCTAAGTATTAATTTAAATTATGATTTCGATATGAAAAGTTGAATTATATGTTATGTTTTTATTATGGGAAGTTGAATAATAAATTATGATTTTGATTTGGAAACTTGAATAATACATTTATTATCAATAGAGTATAGCAGGGATACCAGAGCATCAACAATATTGGGAATTCAAAACCGTCACTTAAACTTGTAATAAATTCAGTTATTTCACAAGACTTGTAATTTGACGGTCAGAATTTTATCTATACCCAAAAATTGCTTACATTTTTATGAAGGTCCCATTGCATGTATTTTTTTCTTTACTTACGCGGGGAAAATGTTTCTTATGTAAAAAAAAAACTATATCTCAAGTTGTCTGGGCTACTTGGATATCATAATCATATCCGAAAGATTTATGAAAGGTCAGTATCTACCCATTACCTAATGTGTTGTTACTGTTCTTTGTGATCAGGATTTACCGAATGGCAAGCCGCCAACCAGTAGCTGGGGTTCACGACGCGGCACCACGCCCAAAACTGCCCCCTCTCTGATTCAGGTAGAACAGGCAGATATCAACGTAAGTATTGCTTTGTTCAAGTAATTAATCTGAGATTATATTTATGTATTGTCAATGTATCTTGATGTTGAGACTGAATTTAATATTCGACCTCAGCCTCGTTAAACAATTGTTGACACGGAGGTGTATCGAGCAAAACTAAGGGATTTGGTCGAAATAGTCGTGGGTCAAACAGTTCTAGTCCGAGAACTAAATGTCAATAACGAATTCATTTTCGTGGGCTATTTTTAATATGCACTTAATGATGATGTAAGCGACCATTATTCTCATGCATTACATTTATATATTGAAATAAAAGGAGAGTCAATGACTAGTTTTGGTATAGAAGTTGCAATATGAGAACAAGGGTAAAAGAATATTTCTGGTTAATTGATTGAAATGATTATGACAATGAAAAGTTGAAGAAACAAAGAGCCGTACGATTACGACCAGTTTGACTCTAGATTATTTTCTCTTTAACATAGTTCAGAAAACGGTTCTTGTTGTTGCTCTTCCATCATAGTAGTTCCATCACCTGTATTTCTGCGTTTGTTGTACACTGCAATAAATCGATACATTGCGATATGCAAATATGACGTTTTAGAATTATAAAACTAGAATTTATTTAACTGCAACAAGAACAGTGGAACACTTTACATAGCAAACTTGTAGGTGTTCAATGACAAAAAATGATCCTTAATCGTTACAAATTTTACGAAACCCAAAATTTGCATCATACATAGTTACTAAATTAAGTATATATTGGCTTCAAATAAATATTTGATGGATAATAATGTCATTTTCTATTTTATGATACATATCCTATCCAATAATTCAATTTTTAAAGTACATATCAGAAATAGTTTTTCATTAAAATTGTGACAATCTGTATATAATATTGATATACATAAGTATCTAGTTAACTGGGAATTACCTCGAACCCCGTAACAGACATCAACAAATTTACCCGATTGATTTCTTTGGTGTCAGTTGAGCCTTCCTCTTATTCCCCTCTCCCCTCCCCTCTCTCCTCCCCCCCNTACCAACCCCGAAGTTTTCGTTTTGTAGATGTAATTCTATGTGAATACTTGCAATAGCAAAGGGATATTACTTATTTACAGATCTCTACGCCATTACGGTAAGAAACTGGTTTGACGTTGTTTCTGGTGTTCAATAATAACTTCAGGATTACCTCCTTTTAATGATTCAAACAATATATTCTGTATACTTATTTTTATCATGGCATTTTTACTTAAAACAATATTTCAAGTCAAATAACTTATGTTATTTTAATTATAAATTGTCCATAAAAACAATCTAACACTAGGTATGATCAGAAGGAGCCTTGCTTCTCCCGTGTACCAATCAAATCGTCAAATTCACTTACATTGTAATTAAACAATATGGCGGTTTTTGTACTGCTCATCACAGGGAAACAATCCAATAGTGTCTCGTTTCTCTCTGTTGTTTTTCACGTTGTTTGTTTTTCTTTATTTGCATATTTTGTTTGTGTGGTTCTTTACTTTTGCAAGGTAAACATACTACCTATAATTAGAAAAAAACTTGCTATGACTATTTATTTGACTACTCTACTGCAACGTAGAATAGATTAACGTCACAAATTCAAAAGGATAAAATAGCTTCAGTATATTTATTGATGAAGTGTGAAGAAAATATGTAACCAGATCTTATGATTAAAGAAATTGACGCAAATGTAGATTGTGAGAATAGATATATATATGTATATTTGTCTGAAGAATCTCCTAGAAGAGATAAAAGTACTAAAGACTCGTTGTTGAGAATTTTTCTTTTATAATATTTCTTCGTTCGTAAGGATCATTTTTCTGATTTATAATATAAATATATAGCACATACATCAATAAAAAAACATAAAAACTGAAAGATTTTTTTTTAATTTTTTAATGGCCATTTAAATCATGAATTGATTCTTAAGGGACGCATGGAAACAACAGAACTGGTGCTTTGATCAACGAGGAGTAGTTGTGGGGAGGTACGTCATACTTTGCAATGAAAGTGTCACTTTTTTCCAATGTACGTGTCACCTTCTGTGTATTATGATGCACTTTTGGTGTAGCGTAATCATGTACTGTGTGTGTGCCATGATTCAAACTGTACACCCTCCTGCACCTCGAAAACCCTCCCCCTAACACGAAGAGTTTTTGTATTTAAAATCTGATCGAGGTAAACCCACCAGTTATGTAATAATAGCGTATTAGATAGTAATAACAGTATTGCTGTTGTTGTTGCTTTAAAAAAGCATTTGTGTGTAATTATAAACATTTCATATTTTTTCTTTTTATCACAGGACGACAGCATGGTGATGTTCAGAAGAGCAATTACAGACTTGGAATTAAAACCCCAGGAATCCTCTCGTGTGAAGGTACCAGAGAAGGTGACGTTTTTCGAGCCTTCCAAACCAGGTGGGGACTTATGGAAGCAAATGCGCGGTATGTGGAATCTAGCCAGCCATGCTATCTCAAATCCGAATGTGGGTTCGAGTTCCGCTCTCCAAAGTGCAAAGAAAAAAAAGAAAGGAAAAGTGAGGAAGATTCAAATATGATGCGTGGCACTTCCGGTAAACGTTGCGTCAGACCATGTAAATGGCGTTGAAGTGTTTGTACTCCTATCCCCCGACGAAGTTGGATCATTTCAGTAAAACACATATTGAACAATGCTTCACATTTATGTGTATGTGAGATATACAGATCATAACAATGTTAAACGTTCTGCAACCCTGTTCTTATTATTTGTTATGTGGAATGTCAAGACCATTGTTTATTCTCATTAAGTGTCTTTAATAAACTTTATAATGACCATCGTTTATTGTTTAGTATTTCTTAGATTATGATACACACGTTTTTTTCTTACGCTAGACATGGTTTATGACCGTCCGAGAGATTACCTAGCTGAGACCTCTGCATGTTCTTATGCTTCTATATTTGAAACAGCATCTCATTATTTCCTTGATTGTATAAAATACACTGAACATCGTACTATCCTTTTTCAGAATATATTCCATGAAACTGGATGGTTGTGAGAGATGTGATGAAAATGAAAAAAAAAAAAAAAAATCCTATCTGTATCCAGTTACATTTCAAGTTCTAGAAGATTCAGGACACTTAACTAAAACAAATGAAAATAATCATTCATTCATTCCTCTTAATTCATTCATTCCTCTTCATTCATTCATTCCTCTACATTAATTCTATCATTTGCTCAATAATGCAATCCTTCTGATTTCCAGAAATGGTACATTAACATTTCCTTTTTTTCTCTTTGTTTATTTTGTAAATTTTTAATATTGATGATGAGGAGGGCTGATTTTCAGTTATACTATTTTGCTAAAATATTGGGGAAAACTGCATAAATAAGAATATAATGCTTTACAACATGTTTATTTTATCTTTAATCTGTCTTTAATATGAATAAATTAATCTACTTGGTAGAATTAAATTTCCAAACTCATCGGTGAATGACTTTGTGTGATACATTGGACTATTTCGCCTGTAACTGTTTGATGCGGTAATTTAAGCCCATTGATGCGGTAATTTAAGCCCATCAAATGTTGATACATGCAGCTCCATATTCTTTTTATTTTCTCTTGATAACATGTATATATATATATTTATTTTCGGTACCAAAATAAAAGGTTAGAATTTAAACCATTAGATTCAATCATAATAAACAGGATCTAGAAGTTGTTTTTCCTACTTTGATTATATGTGTTTGAATGTGTTCTAATGTCTTTGTCTATGCTTGTACCACTGTTTGTTACTGTGTTTGGAGAGGGCGCTTAAATAGACTATACATGCTGCCCGATCCATTTGTCTTTTGACTATAAAATTAATTGAAATTGAAATAGACATGATTAAGAGCTGACATTGTATGTAAGGAACCATCAACGAGAGAAAAAAAATAACCGAAGTAGTCAACCATCAAAGAAATGTGTAAAAAGACGAAATTATTAACTGAAACAGTCCATTCGTAAATGTCTGGCAAAAAAGAATATGGCGACGACCGACTTCCTGATTGCTTGGGGATGTCTCGATAAAGAATTCATCTTCTGGTATTGATAGTTGATAGTTCTTGATATAACATATAACAATCACTTTCATTTCGCAAGATATATTTGTAATGTAGATTTAAAATGATAGAAGATTAGTCATTCAGACACTTTAAAGGTAACGCTACCATAGCTATTATGCATGTACCTGTGATTTATGAGCAAGTCCCCCCGCGACGAACACATACACAGATGCTCTTTCCAGTTTCAATACGCAAAATTCCCCAATTTGCTTTTGTATTTTTCGAGTGTTCAATGAGACAAACACAAATTAGTTATCGAGACTCCTAATCTTCTCGAATAACTTGCAAAGCATATTTGAGAGAAGATTGTTCACATATAATAGTGATCACCAGTAACAAAATAAAAACCCACACCATACAAAGACATTTAATGAATATATGGAAAAACCTAATATAAAGTCACCAGAAGACCGACCTAGAGTTGACATCAATATTGTCGTCCATATCTAAACAAAATGTCAACACACATGGATCGATTTACCTTCTAAATACCAAATACTAAAGAAGGATTAACCTCAACAATGTCATACTGAAACATATAAGAAAAAGACTATGTGGTTATGTGATCAAATGCTTCTACTGCAGGATGATAAAAAAGGAAGGACACCATATCCTTGAAATAGAGGAGATAATTTAACATAAACACAATATGACTAAAACGAGTGTCTCTTTATGTAATCAAAGTTTATATAACGTCAGAGTTATATGACCAGCACAGGTAGACATGTATTTAAATATCGTGTTTCAAAGACAAGAACAAAACACATATATACCCCAAAAACCAAACGAGAACGTAAAAACTAATCAAATGTTCAATATAGTAAAATAGTACCACAGCGTCCGTACACAAGGCCAATTCGATGCTCAACCGAAAAACGAAAAATTGATAATTGGAATCTAGGGTGACACAAATGACAGGTACAACGAACCCCTTCACAAAATATGAAAGGATAAAGCACGTGTTACCCAAGAGTAAGCGTTCCGAGCACCAAATGTTGTACCACGTGTTACCAAAGAGTAGGCGTTCCTAGCACCATACGTTGTACCACGTGTTACCAAAGAGTATGCGTTCCGAGCACCATATGTTGTACCACGTGTTACCAAAGAGTAGGCGTTCCGAGCACCATACGTTGTACCACGTGTTACCAAAGAGTAGACGTTCCGAGCACCATATGTTTTACCACGTGTTACCAAAGGGTAGGCGTTCCGAGCACCATATGTTGTACCACGTGTTACCAAAGAGTAGGCAATTCGAGCACCATATGCTGTATCACGTGTTACCAAAGGGTAGGCGTTCCGAGCACCATATGTTGTACCACGTGTTACCCGAGAGTAGGCGTTCCGAGCACCATATGTTGCACCACCTGCACCCCATGGGTAACTCGACATGATTAAAAGAATCCTTCTCTTCCTTGAGGATGTGACAGAGAAATCTCCGATCCGAGGGATGATTCTTGATTGTCTAACCCGAGGCTTCGAGAATATCATCCCGCGGGTCGGAGATTTCTCTGTCACACCCTCAAGGTAGGGGATGATTTTTTTTCCCATCTTTATTTCACAAATCTACATACAAGCGGTGTTGTATGGAATGCGTGTTCAGCAAATCCAGAATATTCTGCACAATAATATCTCCCCCTAGGGGTGACAAGCTGATCTTTTTCGGCATAAAAGGGAGACACACCTGTCAAGGGTGGGAGAAATCTACTATCAACGTCAATAAACGATTGCAAATACAAAGTTTGAAAATAACCGAAAGCACTGCCTTTGAAAAAGTTCACAATAGAGCTATTTAAATGCCACACAAGATTTTGCAACACGTTCATTATGATGAGTGGTTTATCATTTGCGAAAAGATTGATTTGGCATAATTTAAGTTATTTCGTGCAAAAAAAACAAAAGTCTTTAAAAAAAGAAACAAATCACATTGTTATCATCATCTAGGTTATTTTTATTCATATTATACAACACCACTTTTCAGAGAAAAACATACATAAAAAACAATAGCACTTTCAGAAAAGAAAATATAAGTAGCAAATCATAGCTATTTATAAACAAAGAAATATAATATTTAAAGATGAAGATAGTAAATTACTTAGTTTATCTATTCTAGAATACTAGCTGTAAATCAATGAGCGAGAATGAAGGTTAGGTAATACCAATCAGATGAAAACAACTACACACGGTAGGGGAATGCAATGATATACTTATTTACATAATGTTTACAGTAACACTTTGGGTTCATCAAACTCAATTCCTTTAATCCGACAATTTCGTTTTGAGGAATTAATCTTAGGATTTTTTCCCTATTCTGATGACAATTATCGTAAAATGATCCGGAAAATGATTTTGTTGTTTTCAAGTTTTACTGTAAATTATAAGAAAAAAAGCAAGAAAAATTCATACTGTATTTACAATTAAGCTTGCCTTGTCCTCCTAGTATCACGATATGACTGGGGAAAACACAATACGAAGGTTAAAGGTGCTAGCAAATTATCTATGAACGGAAAGGGTGAACAAGATATGTCATATTTTTAAAATGCCATATAAAGTAAGGAAGGATAATTCTTTATTAGTGTGATTATATTGTGAAATGAAATGTTGTTATTTCGATTAAAAAAATACTTAATTACTGTAAATAATTTTTGTTTCGCGAGCATTCTTTTCTCTCGTATATTTAGATTTGAAGAATGGTTCCAAAATTCAGTGTTCACGAAAATCAACTGATGTATAATATGCAGATCATGTAACAGTAAGTGACACACCAGAGTGTTTTCAAAATATAATGTTCAAATATGCTGTTCGGCTTGTTTCTGATGCATCTACCTGAAGATCATCGGGAAGTACAACTCAATGAATGCCGAAAAAGCGTCTTATATTTTAATATCAACTTAAATAGTGACGTCAATGAACATGAAAATGAGACAAATACGGGAGGAAAGCGTAATGTAAGGTCAGGGTGAATGGTCTGGTAATGAAAATGATAATTGAACGCATTGGTGAGCATAATTATATTCAAGACATAACACGGATGTTTGTTTTCTGCTCTTGTATAACAAAATTACTCAATACTAATTTCAGTTTCCTCTTTTCTATTCTGTAATATCTTTTGTAAATTATATTTTGAGACAATTTAAGAGTTTTTAAAACAATTCGTTATATATCCACTTAAACAGCAATGCTTGTACAAGAAAAAACGTCTGTGACAATATGCTCAACTATTATTGTTTATGGCGGTACTGTAAGGTTGGGTTTATCGTCAATATAGGCTCATGTATCCCATCCGTGGGTCCAACTGTTGAATTTCTTGTTTAAGACAGCATCAAATACCTAGAAAACAAAATCAAAACAAAAACGGATGAAAACATATTCCTCGAATTTTCCTAAGTATTTAAAGTTAAAAAATGTAAGGATGGATATAGGCTTTGTGGCAAGACGATTCTATACAAAAAGTATATTCCGATATAGGCATTTACCAATAAAAATCAAGAAATTTCGTTCACCCACCATTTTCACATTATGAGCGCAGAAACTGGCTACTGATTGCTCGTGAAGATATAATCAAGAGTCAAATAAATTATTCCTGCAGTAGGCATAAATAGTACAAGGCAAGTATATCTGTAACTTACGTCTTGGTTGTAGGGTTTTTCGCGGGTTGCTTGGCCATTTCGATGTGCAGGCACCCTTTCAAACTCTGAGTAAGTACTGGAGTCAGTTACTGTCTTCCCCATAATCGTGTTGATGGTAGCCAATTTGTTGTTCTTCACCTCTCCGCCCATTTCGTACCAACCTTTGACCTTCTTCAGTTTGGGTTTCTTTGGAGGCTGTGATTGATGAAGGCCAAATTTGGTATTAAGGAACATGGATTAATCCTGGTGATATCTTTAAATATTTCATCCAGTAAAGGAATAAATAAATACGGACAGAAAAAAACAAACAAACATGAAAACCCGAAGGGCCAACCAAACTTACTTTGAACTAAATATTATTACAACTAAAACAAAATATAAACAAAAATATAAATACAAAAGTAATGTTTTTATGTAGGTCGAAACAATGTACTCTCCTCATGTGAAAACTATGATGGTGATAACAAAACAATGCACATTAATGAACATTACAAACAAAAAGATCTTTATATCACAAAGGGGTTGTTGCTTTTGTGCAACTATAAATATTAATGATTTGTTCTTAAAGCTTATACAAACTATTGTACGGAAGTGGTATGTGCCAATTGGGGGCCTTAAGTTTTGCACGGATACTCTCATAAAAATAGTAATACATACCGGTTTAGGGCCTGCTTTGGACTTAAGCACTAGGTAGTTGGTTGCGTGGGCGAGCACTTTCACTGTTGACGTCTTCTTCCGTTTCCGCTGAAATTGGTTTTATTTTACAATAAGAAGACATTAAGATAGAAATGCCCGTTTGTGACTCATGTCATTCATGACAATTATTAATGGAGTTGAACGGAAGGCATACGCATATAATTCTATTTATATATTTGTAAAAGAGACAGTACTCCAAAAATGAATGTCACTTCACCATATAGCTTTGTTTATCCTTTCATGACTCATTGGTGATGCTAAGGGTCTAAGAGGTTGCAATCCAAATTGGTTTTAAATATTGTTGAAACGGTAAAAGGAGATGTGTAAATCCCCTTAATTATTAGAATTAATAATTAACTACATTCTGAATTAAAATTGATCACTCGTTTACTTCTTGACTGGGCAATGAAATATTGACCCTTGCATTGTTTTCTTAATTGAATGTAACAGGGCTAGATAATATGTCAGTTGAAGGTCCATGTCGAAAAGGTCAATGTCACGAGGTCAAGGTTACATCAGGAGGTCAAATGTAATCAAGTCATGATGACGAAGTGATGAACTCTTTACTGACTTTATAAAAAGCTGTTTCATGACTGGACATCGTGTCGTTCTCACTACTTTCGGTCAAGGTCGAAATAATAACTTTGCGGTCAAAATACTCACTGTTTCTATTTGATTTATATCAAACCTGTTAGGTGAACACTAATACTTCCTAGTTGAATTTTAGCATTTACAATAATGTTTTTTATATATAACTAAAAAAAAACACTACATTGTATATCAAATGATAGTGTTTTTATTGAGGTGAAAGAGTTGATGCTGGTATGTGAAAATGACCTCTCCCAATAGTTATCGTGAAGAAATTGTGCTTTCATTGCAGTGAACTGCCATTATGTTAAAAAAGTCACATAATATCCTGATTAAATTGTGACAGAAAACGTATACTTTGTGACAAATTCAACACACAATTACGTGTGAATGGCTAAGCATTAGCAATGAAATATCGTAAACCCTTGATTGTGATCAACACTGTAAGGTATAGCCCGACTAATCGGTTTACTAAAATAAATCCATGTACGAAGTCCATGTACACCATCTAACAGATCTGATACGGATTATAACATAAAGTACATATCTCTGACTAAAGAAAACACTAATTTAGCAACTGACCTGGTCCCTATTAGAAACTAGCACCAGCTGTAACAAGCGTCAATCATGTTACTTGGGTTATAAGTTATTTCCCTTTTCTCACTTAAGTTATATCAACATCACTTTGTTAGGTATCAAAAACGCCATCATTTCATTTTACAAATCATGAAGGATTTGTTAACAATTTGATAGATGTGGAACGCTTTGAAAAGTAGGTGAACTTCGGAGTAGGTTAAATACTTCGTCAATAAAACCATGAACTATGTTCGAATGACCTTTTTTTTCTAAGTAATAGAAACTTTGGTACTTTCAATATTCTTTTCCTCGAATTTTGATTTTGTTTTGAAACCGTTTATTTTAAATAAAGATTAAAAGCAAACTGAATTTGATCTTGATCTTGGAACAGAAATCATTTTAAGATGAAAGATTGTTATCACAAACGTTTCGTTAATAATTTCTTAAATGTTAATTAAATAATAAAAAGACATCCACAGCGAGCTTGATATTTTGTTTGAATACGACTTTACACGTTTTATACACATTATTTATGTTTGAGTTGAGTTGAGGTTTTTTTTTCATTTAATTTCAATTTAACTTTATGAACTTTGAAATCACATTTCAATATGGTTCATAGTTAATTTCTTGAAATCAATTTACCACATCTTGAGCTGCTGCAACATTATTCGGACTCATTCTCATCTCTATATATGCTAAGTGGACAAAAAGCGTTGAACCAAGACAGAAATCCGACTTTTACAACATATTATTTAAAGGCATACTATGAATTATAATATTATTTTCGTGTGTATTATAGCTTTTAGGAAATATGCATTTTTTTCAATAAAATACATTTGGTGCCAAACTAAACAACGTCTTTCAATGTTTCCCATTCCATTGCTAAAAAAATAAAAAATAAAAAAAACAAGTTTTAACCATTTAAAACAACTAAAAAGAAATGTAATGAACATCGTTTTAATCGAATGCAACAATAGATAAACAGAACATATGATAAACAAGTTTGAAAGACATATCCTCATTTTAGGAATAAATGAGTACGGAATGTGGAATGAAAGAAGAGTGTGCTGTTACGAATGGCCGCTACAAAAGCAACATTATACAGGAAAAACATAATTATCTCACAACTGTGGAAATATGATAGATTTCATTACATTTTGATATCTTATGATTCAAAATAATCATAAATATTCATAATGAGATATATATCCAACGAAAGTTTATCCGTCCTTCATCAGTATATAAAATGAATAGTATTTAATGAAATATTTATATTCTTGAAACATTTTAACATTGATGCATGATTGTTAGCGATGTAATTGAAGTCATATTGCTTCCCCTAGGAGTCCATATTACTAGCCAAATCACTACAGTTTAAGCTAATTGGACATTTTCTCTAGACTAGTAAGTACCAAGCAACTAGTCGGTTCACAAATGAAGGAGTGATAACCACGGAAAGGACTTTATTATTTATTAAATTGAAAAGTAAGTCTGTCTACGTAATTGTCAATCATGTAATTGAGCAGTACATATTCCACAGGTATCTAAACCCGAACATAACCCTTCTCCACAACACCTCAAAAGCACCGACAAATATCGTATCACAGAAAGAAATGCAGGAATCATTTCATTGAAATGTTTTCCTTAAAATGTTGTCTCTCTTGGAGGCATTTGAAATTCATCCATTGAATCCATTCTAACTTGTGTCATTGGGGTTGGAGGGGCATGTCTAATTCCCTTTTTCTTCTTGACCCTTGGAGATTTCTTTGCACTGTTCAGGTTTAAAGGCGGAACCATTGAAACGGGTCTTGGAGGGATGGGTCGTTGTTCCTCCCAAAATGTTGCGCGATCATACAGGTAATCCAAACCATCTTTCGCCTGAGATTTCAGATCGTCTTCAACGTTTCTTCCTCTAGATGATTCTGTGAAGAAGAGATAACAGGAATTGAATTAAAATGCAAAACAATAAATAATTATTAATAAAAAAAACAACTTTTAAGTAACAAAATATATAGAGGATCTGGCGAACAAATATGAAAAATCCAAAACGAGTATCATAAATCTAATATGAAGGGAAACGAATGACAGATTCTTTTTATCGTATAATACAAAATAAATTGTATAATTGTGATCTGAAACAAATATTTTGCATTTGGCCGCCTCTGACACGTCACATTGATTGTTCCTATTCGATTGTGACGTCCCGGAGTGATATTACACATGTTACATATGTACATAAACATAATTTATGTGATGGCTTTAGGACACTGCATAACACGGTATTCATATGATAAATATCAATTATGATATTATCATGATTATCTTTTTCTTAAAAAGAGAGAAAACTATTTTTTCATATTAAGTTTCGTCTGTACCTTTCAGGAACATTGGCTATTCGAAATGTTTCACTTAACAAGTTTAGTCACAAAAGAAAACAGTTAAACAACCGATGAATATAAAAATATATCATCTGGACAGCGAGTTTGAGGGTTGACAACGCTTATATTGTTGATACTTGATCACAACAGACACAACAATGCTTTACGTACTGTTCACATAGTCGAAGTATTTCTTGTCTGTATATAGTTCCTCAAGAAGTTTTCTCCATCGGTTTTCTGACATATTGCGTTTGTGCTGAAATTCAAATTCTTTGAAGTCTCCTCCAAACTTCTTGAGAATATCCGTCCACAATGTAGGCTTGGTCTTCCTGTTGACACGTTGAAGAGGAGGTAATGGTTTTAGTTTAGGATCCTCATAGAACATTGGAATCGGATCTCCTTCTAAAGTAGGACTGTTTTTATCTAGCCAGGCGTTTACTTTCCTTTTCCGGAATGACTTGAACGACATGGGTTGTTCGCTCCTTTTGCCTTTTGTTTTCTTCCGTTTTTTCTGTAACAAAATGCTCATTTCAAACCAAACTGTCAATACTATTATTTAACACTGATAAATAAATAATGGTGAAATGCTAGCATCAAAATGGAAAATATGACATTTGATAATACTACGATAAAATGGTTTACGTGGCATGTCAAAATGTTTTGAACATACAATGTATTTATAAAAAGCAACTTCCATTTTAAATTGAGATCAAATCTAATTGAGAATTTCAAAGGCTTGATTAATCAAGATTAATAAAATAAGTACATTGCGCACTAAACTGGTGACAAAATGCAAATTAGTGAGATTTGTGAGAGACACCATTCTGTGCAAATGATATAAAAGGATAGATGTAACTTAAAGCCGTCAATGTGGTGTTGAAGTTAATTTTCCTCATTCTTATGGAATTATTCCAGCAGAAATCCTTAAAATTCCGAATTTCGTCAATTTGAAAGTTATTTCTTATCGTAGCTGCAATCGGCGTTCCTTTGTTCTATTTTCGATACCAACCAAAATATTGTCACGTCTCTCTTTTTTCCCCAAGTCACCTTACACTATAACCAGTATATTGCGCAATGTTTCTTCAGTAGCATTCAACCAGGGAAGGGTTCGTAAACTAACCTTTTCAGTTTCTTCTTCAACACCGGTGTCTCTTAAATTTGGCAGAATCAACCGAGGTCCTGCATTTTCAAGGCTCTTTTCCGTATCCAAATCCCCTATCATCATATCACATGATATGATGCCACTAACGGTCTCTACGTCATCAATGTCCTGGAGACAATAAAGGTCACGGGGTTACCGGGTTTCGCGAAGGGAAGGGATACAGTGGGATTTTACTGTGTAAAAACCTAATAAAACTTTCAAAGACATGTAGCACCGCACTTCTGTTCCAACGTGCAAGTTATTGCTGTGTGATGAATATAAATACGTTGAATATTGATTAATATTTTTACATTAATTGTGTTAAAACACACTTTATAGTTTTGTGTCATTAATAAATAATTAATTAGTTTGATAAAGTGCATACTGCAGTTTAAGTGTGTGATAGAGTTCATAAGTGTTTTGAAGTGTGATCCATTTCTTCATAAAATGGTATTAAAATGCATTGAAATATGGATTCTTGTTAATCCGGATTCAAATTGTATGGATAAACATATTTTCGGCTAATTTTAGATTAAACATAAATAGACACATCATACATGTGCAGCCAGACGTCCGATAACGATAAAAAGGAAAAAGGAATGTCTATATTTCTAGGTATTTTACTTTAAAATATATCCGGATTAACCTGTTCCAGTGTGATATTGTGATCTCTTACCTTTTTTTTCTTCCTTTTTCGTTTAACTTTCTCATCGTCCGTCTCCTCGAATCGAGCTTTCCTCCTGCTGTCACTAGGAGAATCGTCGTCCTCCTCTTCGTCTTGTGTTCCATTGAGATAGATAGTCAACTCCCGCCTGTTTGAAGCTTCTCCCTCTTCGGCATTATCATCAGCAGCATCATCATCAATATCCTCGTACTCGTCATCGGTTTCATACGTATTTGATTTTCCTTTCTTTTTCTTTTTCTTTCCTTTCTTCTTCTTCTTTTTTTTCGATTTCATCAGGTCTTTTACTTTTTTCTTACTAGCTTTGTCCTTAGCGTCACCAACTTCGAACTCATCCTTTCCGTCTCGTCTCTTGCGCATAGTCATGAAGTCTTTGGCATCAATCTGTATCGATTAAACCTTATACATTAAATGATCGACCTTTCAATCCAAATGTTCAAGTTTTGCAATGAGATAATGCATAAATAACATAAGCTATAATACTATAAAATCTCGATAAATAAGCCATGTTTATTAAGTTTTTTGTAAGAAACCCAAGGCTTATATTCAAAGTTGGCTTATTTTCAAGGTTGTCTTATTTTCGAGGTAGTTTAGACAAGTAAGCCTGTCAAGGGCCTCTTAAGGTTTCGTTTAACGCATATAAAATTGCTCCTTTTTTCCAATTCTTGCAATTATAAACCATGTTATGTAATAATTAATTGTAAAAGCTATTTAGATCGACAGGGAAAATGTGTCTCTTAGCTGGAGTCCTATGCATCATGACCGGCTTATTTTAAAGATGTTTGACTGTAAAGAATCCAGTGCTTATGTTCAATGCCGGCTTATTTCCAAATTAGACTTATTATTGATATTTTAGGTTATATCAAATTCAGATATCTGGAGTCAGGAAGCCAAACAAAAATATATGGTAAATATTGTATGATTGTAAAATCATACCATGTCCTGCCATCCGAATTCGTCTATGTACTCGTCATCACCAAAACCCTTCAAAGAATAGTATAACATGTATTTGTAAATGGAGATAAACATGTAATGGTAAAACTTAAATCATAATTAAGATGTGTCAGTGATAACCAATTTTGTTAGAATGAATAAATCAAATGAACAGTTACTTTTTGTCACTAAAACAACAATTAGGTAGCGACCGGATCGTATGATAAAACTTCAATCTCCTATAATAGGAATATCCTTGAATGAAGAAAACAGAAAACGGCTTACTATTTGCCATTAAAGACGCAAATTTGGAGTGATAAACTAATTAACTAACAATCTCATTAATTATTTTTGTGGGGATTGTCTGACGATTCTGTTTTGGTGAGTCCTCCTTGGTTAAATTTCGAATGAATATCATATATGCTTACCTCGAAGTTATCCCTATCCAGTATTTTGCCCGTGACCTTGGGATGTATGTTGGAGGGAGTGAGAAGTTGGTCAGGTGTATACATTAGTCGGTCAATGTCGTACTTTGATTCGTCCGGCAGACCATCTGATAAACCCTCCTCTAGATCTTCCTGCTCTTTTCTCCGCCTTTCTTCTTCTTCTTTTTCTTTCTTCTTCTTCCACCAGAACCAGATTGCGAAGAGGACGATGAGGAGGATGGCTAGAAGGAGTACTATGACCCCAACGATGATTCCGGTCGATGCAGTACTCGTATCTGATGGAGCTTCAGTGGTTGTAGTGGTTGTAATGACAGCTGAATAAAAACCGAGGTTGTATTTCAAAGAAACTGGACGAAATGACGGCAACAAGTTATGAGGGGGAAATAAAACAGATTACATAAAACGAAAGACTTTAAAATTATTCATCAAGAAATTAATGCACTTCAGTGTTTTATTTCTAGTCGTGCAATAGTAGTTTAAGTAATCAAAATGAAAGACTAATATTCTTCATGAAATATTTAATAAAAGCAAAAGGCAATATGTGACCACACGAGTATTATTTAATACCAGGCTTCATTCAATGAAGTAATCGAATGTAATGTAAAGTGGAAAACAGGTGCAATGGCGATAATAAGTGTGGAACAAATACATCTTGCATGAACTTACGACATGTGGCTGTCTGTGTGAAAACGACGGTGGCGCCTGGTGAGTTGACCGAAGTGGACGTCTGACCGCTATAACATCCGTTTGGGTACTGAGTGGCGTACACAGTCGTCGAGTTTGTAGATATTACCTAGGAAACAAATATTGAAACTAGTTTTCAGAAAGTATAATGTATTTTTATGAATGTTTATTTTACCATAATTAATGATTATTTTTCTAAAGCTAAGTCACTTGCAGCAAGGGGAAAACAAATTAAACACAGGCGCAAAATCATCAATATAACTTTTCTTAAAAACATCCTAAATGACAAAAGTGCTTAAACTACATATTTCTTTTAGTTTAAAGATCGTGTTTCATTGAAATTGAAATCAACTTATTTTTTTAAAAAGTGAAAATTCCGTTATCGATATAACTATCGACCCGTTAAGACAACAATAGGAACTGCGGAACCGCCAAACAATATAAACAGGAATTAAGGAGACACCAAAATAACAACAGGAACTGACGAGACACCAAAATAACAACAGGAACTTGGAAGACGTAAAAATATTAAAAGGAACTTGGAAGACGTACAAATAACATCAGGAACTTGAAAGAAGTCAAAACAACACTGATGATCTGGGGAGACACTATCATAACAAAAGGATCTGAGGGAAAAGTAAACAACAACATGGTATGGCAAGACACCGCAAGAACAACCGGATCTGAGCGGACACAAAAAGACAGGATCTGATAAGAAGCCAAAACAGGAACTGAAGAGACACCAAAACAACAGCATGATCTTGGGACACACAAGAACAAAAACAGGATATGAGGTGACACAAATGGAACAACAGGATCTGAGGAGACCTCAAAAACGACAAAAAGAACTGAGGAGACACCAAAACAACAACAAGATCTGAGAAGACACAAAAACAACACCAGGATCTGGGAAGACAAAAACTACAACAAGATCTGAGAAGACACAAAAACAACAAGAAGACCTGAGAAGTCACAAAATCAACAACAAAATTTGAGAAGACACAAAAACAACAACAAGATCTAATGAGACACCGAAACAAACTGAAAGGCAACACAATGCGGCATAATGTTATTTGGAAAGGTGTTCTTGCGAAATATATTGTACACGTCAAATAAGGGAAAGAATGTAAATCACTAAGGATCCTATATACAATAAAGATGCCATTTAGCAGGTTGACAAACCCATTTATATTCTATGCTTACATAACAGGATAATCTGTAGGTAGTACTTTGGTCAACAGAGGTATCCCTATTATAGACAACGAGATTGGTATAGTCGCCTACTGTACTGTAGTGTAAACAGTTCAGCTGTCCTCCAGCTGTCAAAAACAAAATTATACCAGAATCAAATTAAAAGGATTAAAATGTGGGAATATGAACATATGACCATATATTCTTTTAAAAAATGTATTAGAATTTTATTCATTACATGTGTTTGGACATATTGTGTCCAATACGCATATAATATCAATATCAATGGATTTCCATATTACAATCCAAGGCAGTCATTGTGTGCACATGCGCCATGTATGGAAATTTGCAAGTACGATAAGTCCTAATGACTGAGCTGTTTGCAACAAAAAGCTATCAAACAAAATTGATAAGTTCACTTTTGTTTGACTAATAGATTTTGCAACATGAATAGTTATTATATAAGTTTATTTTTCGGCTCGTGAAATAGGAAATTCAAACAAGTTACCAGATCCCTTGGTACGTAGTTTAAGCATATATGATTAATAATATTGGGTAAAACAATCAATGAAGAAAGGTTTCTGACAAGAAATAATAATAAAAAAGGAAGTACAAAGTTCCAAATTATTATTTCCAATGCTGTAACGTTAATTGGTGTTTACCTGAATAAGCTTGGATCTGAGTACAGAGTGTAAGGTTGAAACTCATAAGAGTGGTGTCGGTACAGGTGTCTAGTTCAGTACTATTGTTACACACATTTCCACTTCCAGAGTCATACTCGTACGAGTAGTATCCTTGTAAGTCTGTGGGGCATGTAATCTTTTCCGTGTCGATGGAGCCTTGTAAATAAAAAATAAAAAAATGATTCGTAAGCTGTACAGAAATGCGATTTAAAGAAAACTTTAAAACACCATTACAGTAAGAAACCAATAGCTTTTGATAAAAGTAAATGAAATTAAGGTAAGACATACCACTGCATCAATTATACTCGCGAAGAAGAGTTCCAATGAGAGTTATTTAATTAAGAGCAATCTCATTTTTTATATGCCTTAAGCCCAATATACTGGACATTTTTTACCTTTGTCTTGATGCTACGTATTATATCATTCCTTGGTAACAATATCGATAAAGAGTAGGCCTGGAAACGTAAAAATTATAAGTCCGACCCTACGATTTTTATGGCATACTTCTTTTGAAAAGTTCTTTAATAAATATTTCACAAAATTGACAACGGTAATTACATAGTTTAATTTGTTGGTTTCCTTTCACAACGTTAATCTAATTCAAAATATGATGGCTAAAGAATGAACGTAACAGCGGTTGCACTTTTAAAAGTTAGTAATACATACAGTATGCCGAAAATGAATTACACTTAATCATGTAGCTAAAAAAAATAATCGGGGGAAAAACTTCAATACCCATACATATTCAATTTTTTGTACTTACCATCTTTGATCATGCGAACATCCGTCAAATTTGTGGTGTCAGCGACATCACATACTTCTGATATTGATGATATGGTCTTACCCTCTAGAAAAATCTTAATCCTCATATTTCCGGCGTCACTGAGTTCGGCTGGAATGAAAATGAATGTAAATCTACAAGGATTGATCTTCACTTGGACAGCGTATACGGTAGTATGAACGCAGTTGGCAACGGACATATTAAAAGGTGTGCGTTAGAGGTGTTGCCAGATGTTGAAGTAATGGCTGTCATCGGACAATTATCTCGCTGAAGCGTGAAATACGCCATATTGGAAACAAATTTCAATCCGCATATCCTTTGTTCACTGCGTATACGATTAGTTCACACAGCCAGTGTTTACTAAGGTCAAGAAAGGAGAGATGTAAATATATAAGAATACACCTTTTTTCTTTTTAAAAGAAACCTGATAATAGGAACATTTTACATATTATTAATAATAAATATTACGACGGTTATATTGATTGCATATACTTCCAAATTTTGTAAAGAAGTTATAAATTTTGTTGAAAAAAATCCGCAAAATGATAGTGAAATTACGAAACATGTTCGTTTCATTTTAATGACCCATCAATTAAATAATGTAAAGTTTTTTATCTATGTCATCTTTAATAACACTATTCTAGTTCCTAATTTTCAATAACAATAGTTGATGATATTGTGTTGGTGGGACATATACATAGCTGTCACGTTTAGATATTTTTCAAAGCATGAAAAAAAATTACAAAAAATCAAATAATTAGCATTTAAGACCTAGTATTAAATTCTTTTAAAATAGCTCAAAACTCAAAAAGTGACGAAAATAAAGCAAATATAATGTACCTTTTTTAAATGAATGAATTTACTAACTAGCGGATTTCTTTCAGTCAGTTACAAGATGGTTCAAAGTGTCAAATTAAACAGCAGGATATTCTGTAAACACCAGAATACAAGCATTTCCCCAAGTCGATGAGAAAATATATTCCTCAATAGTATTCATTGACACACCGAAGCAAAAGTAAAAACATCATGAACTTACTTGTCGGTTGGTAGAATGTGTATTGATTGGTTGACACCTCTGTCATTTCCATGCAAATGAAGGCTTCAAATGGGAGGCCGAATCTGTAGAAAAGCTCCGACCTAACACAAGAAAAAAGATTTAAAACAAAAACCCGGTCAAACGGACTTCCTTCACATCATAAGCTAAGATTCCCAGGGTGATATTGTTGAGGCGTTGAATAAACAAGGGATATTAGTATAATAAAAAACAAACACAAAATGAAACTTGCTTAAATAATAATAAAATGGAAATTAATAATAAAGAAAATTATAAATAGATTTTAAACTCAACATTAGGGCTGTCACAATATATCGGAAAACAGGTATATCGCAATACACGGGTATATCGTATTGCACCACAAAACAGAGATGAAATATTGCTGCATCGCAATATTTTTTTAAAAGCTTATTTTTATGTATCTCATTTTGCTTGGTAATTTAACTTTGCAAAATACTACAAACTCTAGCAGATATGCCAATACGCATAAAACAGGTTTTTAATAGTGGTGTAATTAGTTCAAATTTTGTAATCGATGGTTGGTTCGACAAAAATCTTAAATCTATGTGATCCATATTATATATAATTAAGGTTGATAACAACTTATCATAAAATCGAGCACATCTTTCCTATGACAATATATCGGGATACGTATCGCAATATATTCATTCTGTATTGCAATATACCGTGATACACTCTTCGCGTATTGTGACACCCCTACTCAACATTCAGAAGAAATTAATGTGTGCTTTTAGACAAAAACAAACTATTTTGCTCTTTATTTCAATAAATATATATAAATATATATAAGCAATGAACCATTTTTCTAGTAACCCGTTCTACTTACTTGCTGACATACTGTGTCCCACTGCTTAAATCACAGGTGAAAGTAAATGAACCGAATGTATGAACAGCCAGCTTGGCCATGGTTGTACTAGTGAAGTTAAGAGTGTCCCCGCTTGTAGTGAAGAAAGAGCCATCGTGGAGGTTTGTGGGATATGTACAGGCGCCATCTACATACAAAAACACAACAGTAAATAACAAAACTTCCATTGGCTCTTCTGCTAATGACGAATACGTATTATTTTGGGTTGATATTGATGCTTTCTTGGCCAAATTAATTTGACCTAGCTCTACAGAAACTTGCACGGGAGGATGCATTCACATTTTTTCCCTTGATAATTCTTCGTTTTTGTTTTGTTTTTTTCTAAATATAGCACAGAGGGAAATAATATGGTTTTATTTTTGAACTCGATTTATTGCTTTATAAGTAAATAGTAATTGACTTCAAATGAATAAGTAATTTTCCAAACACAAAATACATAAGTGGTACCATATACCTGCCTAGCCTTTAACATTCCGTTGAAGATAAAAATTGGAGAGTTACCTATTACGAGTAATTGTCTGACTCTGTCTACGATATTTCTATTCGTATTGTAATTATCAGTACATTTTGTATGTAAATCCTCTTAATGAAGACAAAGGATGATAAAATAGACTAACATCAACTCGATTTACATTACTGGTGTCGTCGATGTAGCAGAAGACGCTTATCCTTCCGGAACACGTGGTCTTGGTTCAACTTGTACTTTTGTCAAGAATATCTGTATAAATGTTTCCTTTATTCATATTTTGCCGATTTTGATTTCGAGTTACAGTTTTGTTGATACAGGAGTATTCTCATGTTTTCCTTATTCACAATCTAGTCAATTTTACCAAAATGCTTTAAAAAAAAAAAATGAGTAAATATCCTTGAATTTTATTTTCATTTTTTTCTAATTTAAACTAGACCATTTCATCCGTGCCATCTACTACATTTAATGAGATCTGAAACACATTGTGATAGTACTTATTAGGCGCTGGTTCGAACTTGGATTATTGTTTAATCATGAAATGTTATACGAACGGTAGGAGAGAAAGGTGCACCTTCTTCATGTCTTTTCTTGCTTTTCCGTACCCATATCATTGATATATTGTATATCAATAATTACGTTTTGAATCCTCCTAGTGATCAAAGCAAAGTTATGCCCAATTAAATATGATGCTTGATTTAAGTAATGTTTAATCATTCGACTTGAACTGATCAGTCATAATTGTAATTGAAACATTGGCTCATACCTTAAAACTAATCAAGGGTCAGTAAAAGAATTGTAATAAACAAAACGAAAATTGGTTCAAAAGATTAAGGGGTTTTGGATAAAACAAATTGGTTTGTATATATCATTACTGGCTCCCTATTAGTTACTGTATACAGGGAAATTTTCGGTAAGAATATAATAGACATAGTAATTAAATGTGAAGGGCGAATTTAATATTGGGCGAAAATAGATTTTTACTGTCAGAAGGCGAAAGTTTTACTGGGCGAAAATGTCCCCGTTTACAGTAACCAGTACTCAAGTAATATATATATATATATAAGGGATAACGATCATTCCCTTCTGTTTAAACAGTTGCTTTGACCATTTGAATTGCCACCTTTATCCCCTCTGATGAATCCAAAGACAGCTTCACGGTTGAATGTGATTTATTTCATGCATAATGTATCTTTCAACGAACTTCAAAGGTGGCATCGTCCGTGTGTGTCTTACGTTCATCCCCCCCCCGACCCCCCACCCCCACCC